TAAGCCACATAATATGTCACTCGACTACATATATCCCCTTTCATTGTAATGGAAAGGAAACTACTCAAACTTAAAGTTATCAGTTTCTTCTTTGAGTCCACTCAAAAAGTTTTTTATAACTAACAAAATGATGATATTGAAATTTTCTTATTTCTTCTAAAAGATTACAAACAGGTTGGTGAAATTCACACATACCATATACATGGTACACTATAGAATCTTTATTTTTATACATACTACACTGCGAAACTATTTATTCTCACAAGTAGTGGACAGGAAGATAGAAAACAACATTGTTATTTTCTCCAGTTTATTCAGAATCTCGCGCTTCCTTTTTTGTAGAAATGCAACAGTAAATTTACAATTAAATTTGTCTGACAGGTTTGAAACAGAAATCAGTGAAAGCATCAGATATGTTTTAACGACTTTCATTTATGGAAATTCACTACAGTCATGCAACACATTTAAGCGTTATGTGTCAACCTAAGTCAAAAGGAGGAACATCCAGTCCTTCCACCCAAGTCCATGCTAGTAAGAACCTCACAGTATATGTGTGTGTATGTGCGTCTGTCTTTCCTTCATACTTGGTTGTTGTTGCAGACTAAGAATTCACTCTGTAGAGATTATGAAGAATTCATGGTTCTTCTTTTGGTATTACGTCTTGTGAGGATGTAAACTGGATTGATCTGGCAGAGAATAGGGTCCAGTGATGGGCTTGCTGGTGCTGGAGATGAAATTTTGGGTCTGATAATAATAGGTAAATTCTATCTAAGAGAGTGGGGTACTTTTCAGCTGGTCAGGCAATGGACAAAATTATTTAATTAGTCATTACAACCTTCATACAATCATTGTCAAAATTAAATATTTTTGTTCATAAAATCTGCCTGTTATGAAATAATTTACATAATAAACCAAGCCCACGTTTAATTTCTCGTGTTGTTGCTTTGAAGGTTCTGTGATTCTAGAAGAAATTTTGCTGGTAAATTATTTTATGAGGGCAGTTCAAACTTGACCTAAAATTTTGATTGTTTTTCATAAATAATGATGTGGGTCTTTATCATTTTTGCACTGTCATTTCATGAGATGGGAGAAGGGTAAGGGTGTAATGGGAGATTACCTCAAGAAGGCTGCCTATTATGAAACATCAGAATTTGAACTGCTTTCATACATACCCAGATCATGATATGCATAAATTTGTTATATATTTGGCTTGTGTGCCCTTGCGAACAAAAAAATGATGGCTCAATGCTCCATATGTTCATCTGTATTTGCATTAACTGAACATTCTCCTTTGTAAATTAGTTTAGAAACCACACAGTGTTTCCATCATCTTTTGAAATTATATAACCTAATCAGTTGGGACCACTGGATAAACCTAATCTCAATCCCCAGAGATGGACATTTCTGGAGATTTAATATCAATATGAATTCCATATTAATTTCCATACAAATATACTATCCCACTAAATATTAAAAAAAGAACTTGCATTAGACCTACCTGTATGTAATGATAACCAATGACTGACAGGCTGCCACCCAGCACACCAACAATGAGAGCGCCATATGGATAGATCATCATATCACAAGCTGTTCCTATGGCTACGCCACCAGCAAGGGTAGCATTCTGAATGTGGACCTGCAATTTATAACATGAATTTTAACTTATATTTGCCCCAGTCTATAAGAGAATTCTTTTTTATCATTTAAAGCATTCTTATATTGTTACCACCCACATTCAGTACCAGAGTGAGTATTTCTACCAAGAAAAGTTGCTTATGCATATGTTCTGAAACGTAATTTGTCTGTTGTAGTTTGTTTCTAGTTTCAGATGTGATTAGTACATAATATTCCAATTGTTTATAGTTTTTTTAACAGTCTAGGAAATGTGAACTATTATCATAGATGTGTTTATGTGGATAGAAAAAAGTGATTATAAATCCCAGTAATAAAAGCTACTGGGTTGCACATGTGTTTAATTAATAACATGAACTGAATATGTAACAGGTCAGGTCAGGTCAAGTTTCCTGCTTTCTTACAACTTAAAGGTTGATTATATTGTTTAATAAAGCTACCATTAGAACCTATCTTTGGTCAAGTCAATCTGTTTCAAATCTTCATAATCAATGGACTCTATTCTGAGCCAGCTCTTTCAATCCCTTTCACATCTTCATAAGCTTTTTTTACCAAGATCTATTTCTAATATTATTTCTCTTCTAGATCTGGGCCTACAAAGTGGTCTCTTTCCTCAGTTTGTTTTCATAAAGAAACTTCTGTTTTACCCAATATTTTAATACGAGTATGAAACTTGGTCTCTCACCGTATGGAGGAGCACAGATTGGCATTCTTTGAGAAGAGGATGCTAAAGAGAATACTTTTGACCTAAGAAATGGAGGAAACTACAATATGCAATTCTCAAATCCATTAGAACAATAAAATAAGAATGTTTTAATACAATATTGTACACATTATCAGTTTTCTTCCCTGTCATAAATTATCCAGTAACTCAAAAAAATCCCACTTATAAAATCTGAGTTTGATGCTATTCCTTTCATATGCAGGATGTTTGACATTGTACGAGTGCTCCTAATCAAAATTTTAAGAGTTCATTCAACTTCTTGCTGAACTTGAAATATTTTATTTTAATATTCAGTCATTTATAAACTTTCTGTAAAGAGTTCAAATTGCTTGGTCATTATAGTGACCAGGTCACAGGCTGAACAACCAGGATAGAAATTTTGCTTTTCTACACCATGTCCAGACCAGATATGATAGTGCTTTTTCTGTGGGGCTAAAGAAACTGGGGTATGAAGCTGAACTTAAGAAAGGTGATGTCTTCTTCATTCTGAATCCTTTATACTTATAAACAAGCCACCATTCTACTTAACCAATACTGCTGAAAATATTCTGTTAAATATTAAAGATTTCATTAGTTAATATTGAGGTACACTTAATTAATGATTAATAAAGTGTACCATCTGCTCATTTATTGCATAGTTTCAACTTTCACCACAAAAATTAATATATATATAATATCAGAATGCAGTATTTACCATATCAAACTTCTTTTCTTCACTGACAAGAGATGACAGAGCAAATGCAGTGACACAACAAGCAGTTAGGGACAGATAAGTGTTGATCACTGCTCGATGCTGGTCATCACCATCAACCAAAGCAGAGTTGAAACTTGGCCAGAATAACCAGAGAAACACAGTACCTGTTTTATAATCACAATATACCTTAATTAATAATGATTTTATACAGTTCAGTCAGTAACAAGATTGATTGATTAATTGATTGGCTGATTGATTGTAGGCTGAGCCACGTGCAATTGATTTCGAGCAGGAGCAGTATAAATTTTTCTTTGTCACCAGGTCCAGGACTGGTTCTGGGGTGCACAGTCTTTCATCCGTTGGTCATTAGGGGCTATTTTTCTGGTGGTAAAGTGACTAGAGCATGAAGCTAGCAAATCACTTACATCCAGGATCAATTTTAGAAACGTGTGAAAATGTGGAGGTTTACCTCCATTTCCTTATATAATTCACTGTATAGAGCAGCGACAACTTTTATTTTTATTTGTTTATTAGTAACTGTAACCAAAATAGTTAGCAGCTGTCATCATGCTGCTGATATTCATGTTCAGATACAGATTGTTTTATATTGCTCCCTTGGACATTTAAGATATAAATATCTAAGAGAAACCATCTTATATGTGTGTGTCTTGAGCTACATTAAAGTACATCACAGTTATCAAAGAAAGATTAGTCTAATATGTGCTCTAAAGTGAATGACACAACTTACATTTTCCTAACTCTTCTCATAAGGAAGATTTCACTTAACTTACCTATCATGGCAAAGATGTCAGAATTATATGAAGAGCCTTCTTTTTCTAGTCCTGGTCCTTGGCTGATGGTCTTGCCATGTCCCAGGGCAAGACTTGCTCCAAGACCAAAATAAGCCCCAAACACATGGACAAAAATTGAACCTCCTGAGTCTTTAGCCTGTTGAGATATAAGTTATTTGGAAACTGAGGCATCCAATAAATATGGTGCACAGATTTACATCTAAGGTTATAGAGTGTGATGAAGAAAATAAAACTGTAGTGTGCTGTCTGCATGGTCAAGTGCTTTGTAAACTATGCAGTGTACCCACCACATGCAAGAGGTAGCATAAAGCAACTACACGAACTTTCTGGCTAGTTGTGTTCGTTAAAATTATTTTCCTGGTTTAGTTAATGAAGCTCTTTGCCAGGCAGAATTAGACTGGGCAAATATCAATCCAAATAAAGTAACAATTTTACTGTTCTTATTTAGACTTGTGATAATATGAAGGCAAAATTCATTTACTCACCTTGAATATATTCAGACCCAGGTGTTCATTGCAAGTGAACAGAGCTGTTTCTATGAGACCCATTATTACTAGTTGAAGAGGTGTTGTTTTTCCAAGAACAGCACCAAATGAAATCAGCAAAGCTGCTGTTGCCAAGTCTGCTGATAAAAGACTGAAATATTTGCAAAATTTTAATGAAACTGAATTTAATAATTTTTAATGTCTTAGTTTGATATAAATCATAACTCTCTCTCTCTATCTGTCTGTCTAAACTGGAGCCTAAATAATGGCAATTCCATATTTTTTAAATATTTTATTATCTAAAAAAAATTACTTTTTACATGTTCTTTTCCTTGATATGAATTTGGCCAACATTGATACATAAATCAATGCTTTTTAAAATGACAAGTTACCAAAGCTTGAATCTGTAATAGTCTCATATTATGATGTATTGTACATAAGGAAGCACAAATAACTTGAATTACTAAGAATCTGATAAGGTAACACTAAAACCCGGACTTGGTCTTACGTGGTAATGCTGATGTCAATGTGGTGATGTCCAGACCCACCATGGAAGAAGCCACTGCAGAGTATAGACCACTGAACATTAAGTGCAGCAATCAGTAAGTTGAAACCGATGGCACTGAACCCATACTTCTTCAGGAACGTCATCAGGAATCCAAATCCAATGAACACCATAACATGAACATCTTGGAATACTGTGGACAAAAATATTTAGGGATTTGACACAGTTTTCTTATTATGAATGCTGTAAAAATTTATCTTGCCAACTGAAAAATTCGAAAATTAATTCTGCTAAATAAAGATTTTGATTTCTGATGTTTCAGTCTTTCCTTTTATCATCTCTATTTAGAGCCTAGTTTCCACGCAGGGATTATCATAACTTTGCAGAATTGTAATTGTGTCTCTCTCCTAGTTTTTTTTTTTTTTTTTTTTTT